TAAGTCACACTGGCCATGTGACCACGGAAGATTGTCTTCGGATAAAACGCTGGCTCCATGGCTTGGAAACGGGGATGAGCACTGCCCCCTAGAGTCGAACACGACTGGACAAAAATTGTCAAGGGGAACCTTTACCTTTACCTTTACCATTTGGCTTAGAATAAGCCAGGTCACCTTCCTTTGCCTCCCAGAATGGAATAGGATGTGATCCTTATGCCAGTCTACGGTGCCTCCTCCTACCTGCTCTCTTTGGGATGGCAAGCAAATAATGCCTGGCCTGAAGCACACTAGACTTAAGTAGACCAAGAGAATATTGTATTCGTGAAGGCTTTCATGGCCGAGATCCAATGGTTGTTATGGGTTTTTCGGGCTCTTTGACCGTGTTTTGGAGGTTGTTCTTCCTAACGTTTCGTCAGTCCTCTGAAGATGCCGGTCACAGGGACTGGCGAAACGTTAGGAAGAACAACCTTCAGAACACGGCCAAAGAGCTCGAAAAACCCACAACAACCAAGAGAATATTGTTTTCCTTTTTGATCTGTTGACATCAGGGAAAACACCATTTTCAGGTCAAATCAGAAGAGAGAAGCAGCAGAATTTTTAAAGGTCAGAGCACATTATTTTGAGCCTGGAAGAGCAAATCGTCACCTCTCTGGAATGTAATTCACCTGGCTGTGAAGACTATAGCTCATTTCAAGCAGCTTAAGTGTTTTCTAACAATCTGCTTGTTTTGACCTGGGCTTCCCATCCCTCCTTTATAGCCTTTGTTCTGTTCCTCCTTGGTCAAACATTACTCCTGTTGTGGAAGAGGATAAGGTGGAAACTGCATAGTTCTGCCTTTCCCTGACTCACCTGTTAACACATCTTCACCAAGCAGCAAACCTGTCTCTTCCTCCACTTCTTTTTTGCTCCTAACAAATCCCTACTGTCGTCTGCAACGCCACTCGCTGTGGTCTTTAGACTTCCTGACGCCATCTTTGGAAGGCCAAGCTACTCCACTGTAGTACACATCCCTCACCCACTGTACATCTGTCCTTCTTCCTGTCCACATCCTTTGAAAGTTCTAGCTTTTCATCACCAACAGGATGCCTGTAATCCATTGAGAAATTTTTGCTCCTTTGGAATTTCTGGCCACCATATCTTAACTGAGCCCTCTTTGAAATCATCTTTCCTGTAGTCCAAGATACACAGCTGACAACACTCAGTTTTCACTTGTCTAGCTGTTGCGCCTTCCAAGAAGACTTCCCCCCCCCAAAAAAAGTTCTTCCCTGTTGGTCAGGATTAAGCCAGGACAGCCGATTACTTGTTCTTCCATTCTCTGAGAGATGACATTTTCAGCAAGATAAGGCAAGAATTTATTGGATGTTCCATTCTTAGGAAGATTTAGACTTCTAGCAGATGTCAGGATATATTTGAAAATCCCCCATTACTGCGATGACTCTCCTCTGTGAAAGTTATGTAATCTGTTTCGTAAAAGCCTCACGCATGTCTTCCACTTGACTGGGCAACTTCTAGTATACTTCGGAACAGTGTCATTTTTCTTGCTCTTTCCTCACCCAGATGTTTTCAACAAGGCTTCCACTCTCAAAATTTTATTTCAGTACAAGTGATTTTGTGTGTGTGTGTGTGTAATCTCACTTCTCCTTCTATGTTTAGTTCATTCCTTTCCCATTTCAGTAGGTACAGTTGGGTGTTATCATAGACATAATTTTGAAAGTATGTACAAAAGGAACATGAATTAGGGTTCATAGTTGTACCTTCTCTGTACATAAATATGGAATTCTCTGTGTACCCAACAATTTTATATACAGTGGTGCCCCGCTTAACAACGATAATCTGTTCCAGGAAAATCGCTGTTAAGTGAAAACGTTGTAAAGCGAAATTTAAAAACCCATTGAAACGCATTGAAAACCATTCAATGCATTCCAGTGGGCTAAAAACTCACCATCCAGCGAAGATCCTCCATATGGCGGCCATTTTCGGTTCCTTATAGCGAGGAATCCATCCCTAAGCACAGCGGGGAGCCACTTTAAGCACGCGGTGGCCATTTTGAAACCCCAATAATCAGCTGTTTTTGATCGTCGTAAAGCAAAAATTGGTTCCCGAAGCAGGGAACCGATCATCGCTAAGTGAAATTCCCCCATTTAGACCATCCTTTTGCGATTGCAAAAACATCGACGTTTGACTCTCATGTTCTTGTTGCTATAGAACTGTAATTAAAAGTGTGAGGCAGACAGAGGCGAGTTTTTTGAGTGCCACCAGTTGTGAGACAGAGTTAAGAAAAAGATTGACTGTCCCGTTAAAGTCAGTGGCACTTCAAAAGTGCTTACCTTTTGTTTGGATGATGCTCTCAGTTCCAAGATTGGTTGAGCTATTGGGGCAAATTTAGCCTGTCTATTCACTTTGTGCATATATAGTAGTGACTTTCTGTCTGTATTCTGTTAACAATTGGAGGATCTTTTGAAGTAAGTTTTAAAAAATGAAGAGAAGATCCAGAGAAATCCAAAGCCCATTTAATAAAGTTCTTGCCACACTTGGGCTTATACCAAAAACAGCAAAAGACCTACCCATCATTATTATTTCAATCACGAGTTTAGTAAAACTACAGTGAAGTCCTGCTGATATTTAGTTGCTATTTAAAGCTTGCATAAATGCATTTAAATGTTGTCTGCCTGGCTTGAAACCTTGTCATGTGCTAATATCTCAAAGCAAAGCCAATCTACAAGCATTCATGTATTCAAAACTGTCTTTATTGTGCCAGACTCCGTGTCGCCTAAAAATGATCTTTTCATAATTAGTTTTCTGTTGTCCTTTCTTGTTTATTGCAAACTAGTGTCAGTTAATTGCCATAGTCAAATGGCACTCATTGAATTAAGCTTGCACTCTTAATGTTGCATATAAGCTATAAAATGAGACTGAAAATTTTAGGAATTCTCTTAAAATACTGCTGTATTGTTGTCAGTCTTCAAGCTTTATTATCTAATGCCTATGTGAAGGTTGGAGTAGCAGTATTTGTTGTTGTTATTGTTTAGTCGTTAAGTCGTGTCCGACTCTTCGTGACCCCATGGACCAGAGCACGCCAGGCCCCCCTGTCCTCCACTGCCTCCCAGAGTTGGGTCAAATTCATGTTGGTATTTTCTTACACCAGAAGATTTAAGTATAATTCTTACAACTGCAGTACTTAGAAGTTGACAGGAAGAACAAACCTTTTTTTTGACACATCCACTGCTCCTGATCCCATCCTTTCTGGGCCTATATGCGTGAATGCTTGAGATTTTAACTCCTGATGCAGAAATTGTTGGCTTGGCTCCTAGTCCTTTCCTACTGCCCTTTTGTCTAATTTCCTCTTTTTCTCAGTCTGTTCCTGTCTCTGTGGCACTTGGTGTGGTTGTGCAAATTGTGTGTGTGTGCGTGTGTGAAGAGCGTAAGAGGAAGTTCCCTATCTTGAGAAGTTTATAGTCTGAAATTTGGCACAGTAGAAGGGTGCCAAAGGTAAAGAGAAAGAATGTGTACTATATCCTTATTTCAGTTGCTTTTCCAAATAGAACCAATATGTCATGGAGAAGGTGGGTTTTTGGTCATGGGGTGGGGGAAATTGGGGGTGGGCAATGGTGTGTGGGTGTGTGTGTGTTTTTGGCAACTGGCGGGAAACACAAATTGTTCCTCTTTCAGTGACTGATATAATGCAACAAGTAACTTTCCATTTTTGCTTAGTTTTTGCTCTTGTTCCGCAGGTTACACCATGCCATATTGGGACAATTATGAATGTTTGTAGAGAACTCAATGCGAGGTTAAGCTTGTTTGAAGAACACATGGCATTACTATGGGGCACTGGGGGTACTTTATAGAATCCCCAAGGTGCCTTAATATATTTGGTTAGACCACCTACCCAACTATATGTTTGTTGCATCTGCGACTGCTTAAGAAAAATTCCACAACAATTGTGCTATAATTAAATTTTAGCATTTATACGTCACTGTACAGTTTGATATACAGTATTCCACTATAGATGTTATGCCTTTAGTGTGAAGGCCTAAAGATTACTAACTGTACTTAAAAACAGAGTTTATTTATGGCTTTGTTTTTGCTGTTGTGTTCTACCTCTTCTTGAGGAAGCTCGGTGCAGCACATGTGGAGTTAGCTGATTTAATACTAAAATAAGCCAATGACATTACTGTAAATGTTCTGTGCCCTTCCCAGTATGTGATTCTAGACATTTAGTGTATGGAAATGCTGCTGCTTGAACAGAAAACAGTTGAGTCAATTCAACTGTTCAGTCTTTAACATCTGTGCTTTATATATAACATGTCCTATGGGAGTTTCCCCTATGTTCCAAGCAAATTCGGTCCTGGAATGCTAGTTAGGGTACTGTCTAGTCTGGCTACCTTTACTTCTGAAGTTTACCATTCCTTCTGCACCCACTTCATATTGGGCAGCCATGTTAGTATGCATATATACTCTGCAATGGGAAGGCTGCTGTGTTAGCCTACTGCAGAAAAAAATAAACAACGGGTCTTTTACCTTAAAGACTATCAAGATTGCTTATGGATTGCAGGCCTGTCTGCGTACAACAAAGTGGTCTGTGGTCCATGGAAGTTTATGCCCTATAAAGCTTGTTAGTCTTTGCAATGCCACAATATTGTTGCTTGGTTTTATATATTTTAAATATTTCATAGTGGTGCAGCTTCCTTTAGCAGCAGAAGCTGATTTTATTGCTTCATTTAACTTTGTTGTATCAGTAAGAGCAGATTTACACGTCTTCCTCCCACTGTTCTTGGCACCATAATATCATACAGAGGACAACCTGTTTCTTAATTCTGAATTGAGTGTTTATCCAACAGGTACTTCTGCCCTCTTGGAATGAGGTGAGGATACAGTTGTGTGTTTGCCCTTAAAACCCCCAAAGTTTATTCTTATTTGGTACAAAGTAAACAAAGCTCAGAATATAGTTCAAACATCCCATCAAGGTTACCTGAAAAGGTCTTTTTCTCACTTTCATGTAGCTGGCCTGTGGACAGTCTTCACATTAGGAGGTGTGGGAAGCAAACGTGCTCCTCAGCAGGATGAGTCTTCGCCTCTCGCTAATCAAAGTCTTCTGCTGCTGCTTGTGCTAGCAAACCTGACAGATGCCCCAGATACACCCAACCCTTACAGACAAGCAGTTATGTCCTTCAAGAACACACAAGGTTTGTATCTTTCTAAAACTATCTACAAGGAATTAAAGCAAGTAAGGATTTTTGCATTGTTGTGGATTGAATCAGTCATAGCTATGGCAGTTTAGGAGAATGGCTGTAGGAGCAGACTTTCAGGTGGCTTTTAGTAAAACCAACAAGGATTCCTCCCTCTGGCTCCCCCTAGTTTTATTCAATACATGGCATCGTGGTCTTCCTAAAACCAATACCTAAGGAGAGGGGCAGGTCACATGATGTAAAAGGGGTGAGCCCTTTACGTTCAGTTGTAAATCCCACTTAGAATCACTCAGTAGAGTCAACGGAGAGACTTCTGTTGGTTCAGTGGATCCATTATCATTGGGACTAAAAAAAGAGATTTTAAGGCAATTGTTCAATTCTATGTTATCTAGACAATTCTGTTAACACTGTCTTTCAACATATGCTGCTTCCTCTTGAAGAAAGTATCTCAGAGCCTTCTGAGAAAAATGGTTAGATATTAGCAGGAGAGAACTGGCATGTGGAGTGACGATAGCATTTCATCCTTCATTCACTTTCCAATCTTCCCCCCAAATCTTCTTCTGTTTTAAAGCAATTCTTCCTTCTTCTGGGCTCCGAAACAGGAGCTAAGCCCTAGCCAAGAGAAAATGGTAGTGGTAGTGGTGGGCAGATAGCATTTGCAGGGAGAATCAGTCTGTGAGAACATGTCTTCTCCTCCTCCCCCCTCAAAAAAAAAGTCTCCTGAAGACAGAAACTGAAGAGAGAAAAGGATGAAAGAGTCCTTTGCAGAGGAATCCTATGATGAAGGACCTACAATTTTGGGAAGTATATGCTTCTCTGAAGATGCTTGGAAGAAATAAATCCATCAGGGTTAGATGAAATACAAATAGAAGTATTCAAAGCTTCAGAGACTGGATCTATCAAAACCCTAACAAGAGATGGTTGTTGTGGGTTTTTCGGGCTCTTTGGTCGTGTTCTGAAGGTTGTTCTTCCTGACATTTCGCCAGTCTCTGTGGCCAGCATTTTGGAAGCCACTCATTCATAGGTCACAATAAGTCGGAGACAACTTGACACACATGTAAGAACAACAACCTAAATTCTTTCCCACAGACCCCTCTTTCACCCCTCTGTATTCATTTCTTTGGCAGATACATGTCATTCTGTCCCAAGTGGAGACAGGTAGTCTTCCTGGTTCCAAATCGATTTCTCCAGCTGCTAGCACCTGTTCCAAACTATCAAGCTTTTCAAGTCTTAGTCTCTGAAATCCTTTAAGAGGAGATGTTAGGAACTGAATCTGTTTTAACTTGGGTATATGACTGCATAAGAAAGAAAGAAAGAAAGAAAGAAAGAAAGAACTGGATCTGTTCAACCCTACTAAACGCAATACATAAGAAGAGTCAAATCAAGGTCTCTCTAGGATAAGAGTCTCTTTGCGAAATGGTCAGCAGGATGCGTAGGGGAAGCCCACATGTGGGCCATGAGTACTAGAGCATCCTCATTTTTTCTGATATTGTGCTATGGTCCAGGCATGGCTTTTCATAATGTAGAAAATTGTGGAGAGTGTTCAGTAAATATGTAAGATTGCAGGAAATTAAGTAAAACTCAGTTTTGGCTGA